ACCCCGTGCCCTGTGCAGCACCTAGCAGCTGTGGCTGCATCAAAAGCTGTGGATTGGCTGGAGTCAGATGGGCTGTTCTGCCCCCCTTGCCTTCAACTGCACTGCACCACTCTGGGTGGGTGGGGGAGAGCTTCAGCCCAGCAGCTTCTTCCCACGGCACGGAGCTCCAGCTCCAGCTCTTGGCTGCCTTCAACACGCTGTGCCAGCCCACAAGGGCTGCTCATCGCACTGCACAGGCAGAGCCAATGGAAAACAGCTGGAGCTCCATGCGCTGGAAGGAAGAGGTGGGGCTGAAGCTCCCTCCTCCCCAAACAGTGCTGCATGGGCCAGCAGGAGCTGCAGCTGGAGGTAAGGGGAGCAGAATAGCCCTGCCATCCTTAGCCAGCTTCCCCTTGCTTCCAGTGGCTACTACCCCTCCCATTCCTGCCCCTGCTGCACCACTCCAGGCAGCGGAGGGAGCTTCAGCCTCGTGGCTTCAGCCCAGTACATAGAGCTTCTGCTCCTGCTCTGGCTGCTTTCCACCTGCTGGGCCTGCCCACAGGGGCTGCTCATCATGCCAGGTGGCTGGAGTGGATTGAAGGCAGCTAAGACCTGGAGCCAAAGCTCCATGCCATGGGCAGAAGTCACTGAGCTGAAGCTCCTCTCACCCACCCAGAGCAGCATGGCATTGCACAGCCAGGGCAGGGGCAGCAACAGCGGGGGCCATGGCAGTGGCAGCTGGAGGTGAGAGGAGCAGAACAGCCCACAGCTTTTCATGCCGCCACTGGTCGCTGCAAAGGGCAAGGTTGCAGCTATGGTGGCGGGCTGCTCGGGGCCCACCAGTGGCTCCAAGCTGCCTGGGCAACCTGCTACCCAGCCAGCTCCAACCTGTGCTGCCAGGCAGGGCTGTCACAGAGCCGCAGCCACTGGGCAGGACCCTGCCCAGCTGGCTGTGGCCCCATGACAGCCCCACCTGGCCTGGGCGCAGGGAGTCAAGAGCAATCTTGCTGACAACCCCCACAGCCTCCACCCAGCCCGGGCCCGCCCCTCTGCATCTGCCCTCAGCAGCACCACCCAGCTCAGCTCAGCCTCACTGCCCCTGCTGCAGCCAAAACCCCAGCCCTGGGCAGATAGCAGGGCCGTGCCAGCTGGCTCTGGCCAGGCCCCCTGCTACCTGAGCAGGAGCAGGGGGGAAAGCTGGCAAACCCTAGGGTCCCATAGCTGCCTGGAGACAGCCTAGTTTGGCCTTAGGGACAAGCCTGGCAAGGGCTGTTTCCCCCTCCCCCTCCAGACACACCCTGGCTGTGATCTTTAAAGGCCAGGGTGGGGGCTTAAACCCCTCCGCAATCATACTTGGCTCCAGCCTGGGGGCCTGGCCATGCCCCCATCAGCTTCCCTCCCGCTTTGCAGCTGCTGCTGAAGGCACTCCTCTAATGCCCCCCAGCTTCTAGCCTGAGTCACTGCAGGCATATGCCTGCATTTCCTGAATTTCTTTTCATTTGCAAATTGGTTCAACCTTTGCAGGTTAGACTAACTTGAAAAGATTTAATCAATTTAGGCTTTGACTTTTTTAATATATATCCCTAGCCGTATAGTATATAATCATTTTTTACAGTGTCTTCACTTTAGCATTCAATGATTATGGGGGAGGGCGGTCACACCGGAGGACAGGCTGGGGATACAGGCTGACTTGGACACACTCTCAAGGTGGACCAACCAAAACCTGATGGAACAAACTCCCCCCAGAGGTGGTGCAAGCACCTACTCTGGACTCTTTCAAAAAACATGTGGATGTATTTCTTGCTGGGGTCACTTGATCCCTGCTGACTTCCTGCCTATGGCGGAGGGGCTGGACCAGATGATC